CCCGCATGCAAGGCGTCATTAAAGGCCCGCATGAGGAGAGGACCAAAGAAATGACTCTGTGCCTTATACATYTCAATAGGGACTCCGTCCACCCCCGACGCCTTGAGTCTTGGTAGCTCTCCAATCGCCCTAAGGACCTCTTCTAGCGTGATGTCCCTCTCCAAAGGCTGCGCCTGCTCCTCAGTGAGGCCAGGCGGGACGTGCCTCCAAATGTGCTCCTGCGGGGCCGTCGCCATCTGCTCCACAGTCCATTCCTCCTCCTCCGTAAACAGGTCTGCGTAGAAGTCCATTACACAGTCCAAGATCCCCAACGTGGTCTCTTGCCTCGCCTGCCGCAGGTCAAAGGGGGGGTCCATTGCCGTCATGAGGGCAATCCCCTGCTTTTTTCCCAGCTCTCTGAAAAAGCGTCGAGACATCTTCCCACCCACCACAGTCCATCCCACCTTTGACCTGCGCCCCCAGCGGGCGGTTTCCACCGTCTCCCACTCTTGCCACTCCCGCACGGCCTCCACTCGCTCCACCCACCATTCCTCTTCCGCCTGCTCATCCTTGGGGCCACAATTAAGCGCACTGAGGCGGTCGGCGTATTCCTGTCCTGTGGCCAAGTGGGCACGGTAACAACCGGCCAACCTATCATGCAGACACCTGCTCATCAGAGCATTGCCCTTCGCCACCCATCCCAACTCGTCCATTCCTTGGGGGCGTCGCGGCAGCCAATTATCCCAATGTTTTTGAATCAGAGGTTTATATTCTTCGTCCTGAAAGACCCATGCGGGAAGGGACGGTTGTGGGTGACCCACCACAATGTCCCCCACCGGAAAGTTGGTTGCAACCTTTACATGATCTGACAGCGCTGTTGGAAGGTAAGCAATCTCGCTGCCGCTCCTGAAGATCGAACTCGAGGTCCATACCATGTCAATCCGGCTCCTTCGGTTTGCCGATCCATACCAGGTGAACTCCCGTCCCGCAGGGAAGGCCGTGCGGTAGACGTCCACACAGTCCAATTCTGCCATAAACAACTGTAGCGCCTCCGCATCTGCCGTGGGCGGGCGTTCCTGGAGGGAATCCAGCCCCGGATCCGAAGGATTTGGGTTCTGAACTCCGCCCAAAGGTCAATCCACGTGTGGGGATCCGAGGGTCCATACACCGACACCACACACCAGCGGGTCCGCCCCCACTGTAGCATCACCCAGGCCCATCGCCCCTGTCTATCCCAGTTCCAGTCCACGAATTCCCCTCGAAAATGAGGGGATATCAGAATAGCCACGCCCCCCTGCGTTCCTCTATCAGTTACTCCTTACGCAGGGGCCCAGACCTGAGGTCCCTTCCACCAGGGGGCGTCGTGCAAACAAAGTCCTTCCCCCAACTTAGTCTCCTGGAGGCAGAGAACGTCGATCTGGTGTTTGCGGACCGTACGCTGCAGCTCCCATCGCTTCGGATTTAGAGAGCGAGTCGACAAGCCCTTGACGTTCCAAGTTAACAGCTTGAGCTTAGTTGATCGGTTTCTTCGATCCATCCCGGCAGCCCCAACCAGACGGGTGGATGAAGAAAAACACCAAATTGTAAACAACAAACCAAGCAAAAAACAGACAAGCAAAATGTAGTCAAAAAAGAAAAAAGCAAACAAAAACAAACAAAATACAGCCGAAAAAACTACCAGATTTACAGCGCGAGCTATTCTACACTAGAGGAGGGAGTGCACTCACCCAGAGGCACTCATAATTAACACAGCGCACCTAAGTCTAACCCTGCTACATCCTATCCTCCATCGCCCACCAACCTTTAGCTTCAGTAAAGTTCCCCGATCCCAGACGCTGGTTCGTAGGTAGCATAGAATTGACTTTGGCCAATATCCCTGCCGTAAACTCGTTGACAATCCGATAGTCAGTCGGGCTGGCACGGGGGCCAAAGACCTGATCCAACTTCGTCCAAGTAGCATCCTTGTGAGCCAAGGTCAGAGAGCCCGCTCGCCGGGGGGTGATGGATGTAAAAAAGACCAACAGCCCGTACTCCGTCCCCCCTCGCAGTTGTCTGAAAAAGCGTCCCACCGAGACTTTGGGACCCAACGACTGACCTGTCTGGTAATATTCGGGTTCTTGGGGAGGGAGCACGCCGCATAGACGAAGAATTCCGTATTGCCTTTCGTGACCACTTTAATGCCTTGCTCCGCCCACCATAGCATCACCGGGCAGACATAACACTCCCCGGCAGCCAATATTACCTGTAGCGATCCCTTCACCGTTGTAGTAATATCCATGTCTGCTTCCATCCCCTCGTTGATATCCATGTCCTCATCCATCGCTCCGCCCCTGTTATCCATCGAGTCCCCACCTTCATCCCCTATCATGGGCTCATCCAAATCCGGGGCAGGCTGGCGGGTTTGCGCATCCTCCCTGCCTTCCGCCAGCCCCTCCTCGGCCACCTTATTCTGCAACTCCTCTTCTTCAATGCGTCTTCGCTGCGGGGACACCCATCGGTCCTCGTCTTTAAGCGGCTGCACCTTACGACCAGCCGGGGAGCGGGACC